TAGATGGAAACGAAAAACCCATTAATTAGGAATTAGGTAGCTGAGTAAGTAATAGGTTGGAGTATAAAATGATTGTAATTCAGACATAATTTTTGGTTTTAATGTATTCTTATAAAGCTATTGTATAGTGAAATATGTGTCGCGGTTTATGTAAAACCCTTTACAGTGAAAATCATACAATAAACTGTATTAATTAGTTTCAATAGGTATCGGCCAGTTCTATTAAATATGGTAATAGACTTGAAAACACACAGGAAATCCTTCACAAAGGGACTATCTGAGAGAAGAAGCGTTGGACTGTTTTCATGAAGCAGGGATCGACTTAAATGGTCACACACTGGACACTGACCATTTAGAGAACACCTAAACAACATTAAGCTAGGCGCAATTTGATGAATTAACAGAGGCATCTAGTCATGCGACATGATGCATTGAACACAGTATGCAAGCAATCCACGAACAACTCAAACCTATTCGTAAACTGAGTCTTCTGACGAACTCATATATGGCATTCGTGGTGCAGTCTAGCATTAATGATGCGACATTGGTGAATCAAAACTGTGCTGTTTGAGGTTGGATCACAAATGGTTCATTCGGCAATTGATGTCGATTGAAATTCAAGGAATGAATCTTCTGTCATTTTCATACATGGCGTCGCCTTCGTAATGGGAAATATCATAACCTCATCTTTGAAGGACAGTTCAGTCCAGCAGTGCATTCCTGGTTCGGTCTAGCACCACCGATGAGGTACTGGCAGGACGAAATAGCCTTATCTGAGGTTGGATCACAAATACTTTAATTTTGGTCACTGCTTCCATCAACCATGTCCAGAATAATGTGAAAATTTCCAACAAAAATCCAGTAAAAAATAGTAAAAGGAATAAGATTCGAACGACAGAGAAAATATTAAATCCTTAAGAATTCGTAGTTCACTCGAAAAATTGAATGTTACTACTTTCAGAAGCATTTTGAAATTGACTTCATACCCCTCTTTTTTAGGAAATGTAATCACTGCGGAAAAAATGTTTTCCATGGCTCAGTTCTTCAATATTCTAAGGAATTCAACGTCCTTTCTTTTTCCCTATGCAGTGAGCAATGGTTCTGAAGCGTTGACGTCCGTTAAAAGACTAGAGATGTTTCTCCTTCTAGATGAACAACAAACAATACGTAATGAAATCAATGAAGGAGAGGAGGTAACGCTGACAAATGTTTCCGCTTGTTGGGTTCCCAAAAACTTTACACTGACAAACATAACCCTACGAATTCCACCAGGATCATTATGTGCCGTCATTGGACCAGTGGGATCAGGAAAAAGCTCATTTCTACAGGTAAAACACACGCCATTATAATTTTTCTTAAATGAATGTGAATATAAATGTGATTAAAGACATGGATCCTTGCCACATCAACCGTACCGAACACTGAAGATGAAAAAATGCAACATATAATAAACCAAAAATTGGAGAAGGNCCAAAGTCTTTTCTACCATCGCTTTGGAGTATCCATTCCGCTGAAGATCATTTTTGATGATGTCTAGTTCCTTCTCGAGACCTTCCTTTGTATTACAGAGCCTTCCTTTGGGGATGCGTAAAACAAGCGCCTCGAGTGCTTAGGAGAACTGTTGGGATAATAAAAGATAACTTATAACAATATATGTATATCTAAATATCTTGTTATATGGAATTGAAAATAATAAAATTGAAATTGAAATCATAAAATTGAAAATTATATTGTAATAGGTGGAAATATATCATCAATAACTGAAATTAGAGTTGGTCATCGTCATTAAAGTTGGGTGAAAATAATTGATAGTTTAAGATATTATTATATAATCAATATTGTGAAATGAAACTACAATTCACGTGATGTCAGTGCTTTCATCCCTTCATTGATTTTTCGAAAATTCGTAAATTTTCCAACGATATTGTACACTATTTTTATGGGACAAAACTTTTTGGAGAATTATATACAGGGTGTCCCTGGACTTCCTCTTTTTCTCTCGGGAATGTATAGATGGGGTCAAAATATCACCAGTACTTCATATAACTTTTTTTC